GGAAAATAATTTCTTAGAAACGTTGCGGATTTAGTAACAATACACTATATCTAATTAAAGGTTAAAACAATAAAGATATTAAAATTCAGAAAGATATTTGTAAACATACTTAGATTATAGTGAAACAAACGCATAACAAGGCTACAGCAATATCATCATTTGACACCTTCAATCTTGTCATACAAAACAAATTAATATAATATTAAAGGAACAAAATTTGTCAGGTGTCCGTTTTATGCTCGTACATAACAGCATAACCATATGTCGTATCTACAAACAGACTGAAGATTCCTACGTTTGAATGTGCTACATAGAAAATATTGTCACAAACCATTGAACGAAATTTGCAATCAGATAGTACGAAAACTATGCTCTCTAATTGGATTTTAAGGACTTTTATCTCGCTTGACATTTTGTGCCAACCTACCTTATCTTAATTGTGCGAACTATTTTTGAAGAAATAATGTCCATTAGTGTGATAATATCAGATTTATTTGATGTAGTCATTAATGTCATTTTCTGAATAGTTGTTTGATGTACGGAAAAATGATTTTAGATTGAAAGAAATACAACTGTTACAGTTTAACAACAAAGAAAGGTTAAATGGACTTATGGTAATATAAACAGCAATAACTTTCAGGTTTGATATGAAGATGAATATTTATAGTTTATTAATGGAAGCTGAGTCGTACGTATTTCAATATATGTTGAGCAGGAATTCAATAATGTAAGTAATATGTAAATGTTTCCAGAGAAAAGTGCCGAGTTTTATATATTAAGTTATTTTGTTTATATATAATTTGACAGATTGTTTTTTCTATGTTGACACTACGTAGGTGAAAGCTTTAATTTCTGCAATCAATTGAGGGGTATGTTATATATTTCCGGCTTCATTCTCCTGTTTGTCTGTCTTTATTTCAAAGGACAGAAAATGTGCTGTCTAAAGCATTTTCACAATGGAAAATAAATGTAAAAGTTCTTAAAGTAACTTAACTTGGGTTTGTTTTCTGAGATGAAGGGTCGGTTATTATTTTTTGTCAGATTAATTTTCTTTTTAACTGTAGTTGCAAACTTTCAGACCATTTGCTCATTCCGTCTTTTCAGGATAAATATTCTTATTATGAAATATGATCCTCGAATAAGTATAATCATAATGGACGACAACCCCTGTCGATAACAACGATATTTTTAATAAGCCGACTAAAATTGATTATATAAAGTACTGTAAGAAACTGGCATATGTAAAGTTACATAACACTTTTTAATGAAAGTTTCATATCAAAACCGAAATTGCAGTCGCCTGTATATGTATCGCTTTTTATTCTTTAAGTAAATAATGTTCCGACGATTTTTCTTATCCTTTGAACAAGAAGTTATGAATAATAATTTGGATTGAAATATGTTATGACACATTTTATATAATGATTTGTTTTCCATTCTAAGATTTCTATGTATATTAAGAAAACAGAAATCCATTTATGTATCATTGCCTTTCAATGTGAAATAATAATAGTTTGAATAGTTTCCTTTAGTGTCAATTTTAGTTGAAATGTAAATTATATTCAATGCATCTGATTTTGATATTAATATAGTCGTGTTTGTCAATTTCATATTTACAATCACATTGTAAATGAGACAACTACAGACATTCCCGATATAACTGTTATATAATCCACGTGTTGACAGCAAGCATAAACGAAGCTATAGAATGAAAAAATGTTCCATATGTGAATACGAAGTGACCAAAACAGAATTATTTAAATAATGTTAATGAAAGGGTGAATGTAAACAGCCTTATTATGAAACAAAATATACAATAATTTAGGAGAAACTTAGATATATGTATTGTCTCGGAATAAAAAGAATGTACTTTTTGACTATTTAAGTGAGTCTGTGGTAGCTTAAATAACTAAGCTTACTTGTTTACAATATAAATGTTGTAATATCAACAAATTTAATGCTCCATATTTTTTTATGTAAATATTTATGTATTGCTAATCAGAAATATTTGGTCATTAGAATATTGAGCTCACATCAAATTTTATATTTTCCCTTCCTCTTTTTTGTAGAAGTGATCAAATATGACATTTCTTTGTTTTATAAGGTTATCATAATACTTTAAACCGTGTTCAGATCTTTGCAAATAATTGAAAGTAAAATATACTCTTGTATTTAAAGAATAAGATAAACCAGTGGCATGCAATTGGTGCCCGTAAATGTTGTGCTTTTTTCAGAACTAATTTAGCGAGTAAACTACGTGTCTGCCTTATTTGTACAAGTTAGAGGTCTCTCTTGTAAAGGCAATGCGTTAATTATTGATACGTATGTGATTGTTGTGGATTTTAAAAATTCGTTGATTTTTTTTATCTTGGTTGACTTATAAAATTGAAACAATTCAGTTAAAATGCTTAGTCTCTGACTAAAAAAACAAGTTTCAACTTAGTTTCTACAATTTAAGTTCTATTGTGTCGGAAGTTAAAAGATTATTGAAGTACACTTGAATCCGTTCCTGGAACCAACCAGGACTAAGAAATGAGTGTAAATTTTCTTGCTAACGGAAACAACAGCTTGACCCAGACGAAGTTCGAATTCACGCGATCAACAATCCTTATATAACAACTAGTCCGACGCGTTCAGCACTCGGCAATGTCGCCAGTTCAGTTTACCATTGAAGATTAAAAAAATATGTAGTTTACTAGTTTATGTTATGTCACAAGTTTATACTTTCAAAGCATTTTATATAGCAGTGTTGTATCAGTAGTATTTGACATTTTATTGCATCTTTTTAAAAACAATATATATGCCTTTCTATTTTTGCCTCAGGAGACCTCATTTTGATAGGTGGTGTTTGCAAAAAAAACATATGAAGGTTAACACGGCAGATTTATCGACAAGATAGTTCTTGCAATAAACACTTGTTTTTCATGAAAAGTAGATGTTGATGTGGTGGAAAACATGATACTTGTATTTTCCAATTTGCTTTGTATTCAGCGTGATAGCAGTCAAAATATTTTTACAAACAGTTTTGCATTTTTCCTACAAGTGAATTCACATGAACTACGGAAAAACACATCATATAAGCATTGCAAGAAATAACGACTTTTAGAGTAATCTTTTTTAGCTTTTCTGTAAATTCACCAAAAATACAATAATATTTAGAATATTTAACAAAATTTAATAAAAGAAAAATATTTAGAATATTTTAGTTCGTCTGTAATGCCATCATACGTAAATTTTAAAAGAATATTTAAATCTATATGTTATATTATTACTTGAAATACACCACTTATCGGATAAGTTAGTTCAACTGTTGTGTTACCAGTTTAAATACGAAGCATGCCGTACTGTTGCACAAACATGCGATATTCTTTATCATTTCACACACAAAATTGTAAAGAATTATTGTAATCTTTATTTTTGCTTTTACTTAAAAAAAACGTGTTTTGTATGGAGGACGTTTGTTGCTAAAATTTCAGACATGTAAAGAGGATCTTTTTTAAAAATTACCATTGAAATTGAGAACTTGTATGTCTACCATATGTTTATTGTATCCTAGCATAGCACATAATATGTCTCTTAATCTTATCTTTTAATTGAAGGTTCCCGCCTTTGTAAAACAAGTTTACATATACTATTAGATACAACTTAAATTCCATGGAAATTAACAACATAATTATAAGCTCGTATCTTCTATTGCGGACAATACATAAGCAAGTTTTCATACTTTTATATATCTATCTGTGCCTGTAATATACAAATGTTCTACTCGTATACAGAAAATAGAGTTTAAGAAAACGTGTTTCCAAGTGTGAAACTACAAGAGCACGTTAACATAATGCAAAGTAAAATCGTTTAACTTTGTGAATCTACTTTTGTCATATTAAACATGTAATTATGTAAACGTACTCTTATAGTTCTACTTGTCCTGAACCATGTTTTCTGAAACTCTGTTTTCTGTAATCGGGTTTTACATTACATTTAATATTTTAGGTACAGAAAGTGTGCAAATTTAATCATGTATCATATGCAATAGACGATACGAACTTGTATTTTTTTGTCGTTTTCCATCTTGTCAGTTGTTAATATATACATGTAGATTTGTTATTTAAGAGCGGGTGCCTTCAATTTAAAGATTGGATTAAGAGGCATATTATTTTGATTTATTCACATGCAAATAGCCTTTTAAATACATTTACCATGATTTAAATAAAAACAACACATAAATAGTGCGTTTCAATGGCACATGTTTGTTGTAATTCAGCAAAGTCTTGTCCTGCAATATTTCATAAAGTATATATATAAAACACCGTTTTTTTTATTTTCTATTATTGCCAATTGATAGAGTGCTCGGGTTATAAGTCATACCGACACTGTAAGTGTTATATGTCAACTTTCCAGCTTGACTTGTGGAAGATCTAAAAACTATTCAGTATATTTTTAAGGTACAAGTGGACATCTGAGTAGACCCATTGATGTTCCGTAAAGTACGCCCCCATAGCAGTTAACAAGTTCATTACCGTTAAGCCAGTGAACGGTAGTGGAACATTAGACCGATTGACTGGAATATCTGAAAGCCAGCTGGATGATTTTTTTTTGCTGAAGAGATATAATTGAAGAATCTGAGATTTATATTTTTGAAATATAGCAGGTGTCATTTTTCTATATATCTTTTCTTGCATATTACTTCACAGAATTCATTGCGCCGATTCCATTATATTTAAAAATGTTACGAGGTTAATATTTTCCATCATGTACTCATACTATTTGGAAGGACTTTTATTTATTTTTGGGCTAATATTTGCTAATATAGATATTCATGTTTTTTTTTCTCAAACAATTTAATATTAACTTATCAATGTATGAATATATATGTATTTACATCCCTATAGTTATGTAATCATTGCAAATTGTTTCTCACAGAATAAAAGATCCTAATGTTTTTTAGGCTCATAACATACAATGTAATAATCGTAAATGTCATAAATGGCACACTTAGAATTTCAAGGAAACCAACTCCATTTTTGTAAAGGAGAATCATTACACGTCTTCAAGAATACTTGTCCATAATTGTTCACTGTCAAACAGCCAATACTTGTATTACTAATAATAAAACCATTGATTTCATCAAATTTCCATTTCAATTCCGGAACGAGTAGGTTTTGAGCTTGTGTGGGAAATGATAGTTTCTTTTTCCGTCCATCAAGTTTTATCCAATGGCTGCTAATACGTATATTCATATTGTCGGTGAGTACACAAAACTGGCTCACGTGATCGCCACAATGGGACGTTATAAGCTCGAAAATACCTTCAATACTTGTAATTTCTAGACACTTGTCTGTAGCTTTATTGAAAATGTTGCCGCTTTTACGCACATTTCTCGGGATAAACGGATTCGAAATTTTTCGTAGTTGGTCAATATAATGTTCGTATGGCTTGCACTTATTTAATATCTTTATTTTAAATCTATCTGAAAGGTCACCAGGATCAATTTGTTTAGAATAGTTGCCTCTATGTAAGGCTTCTAATGCTAATTTTTTGCTTTCACCATCCATCCAAACAAGAATAAATCTGAGCTTATTTTTCGTTTTATAATCAAAATCGGGGTACATGTTTTGCCAGGGAATATCTCTGTACAAGTGTCCTATTTTAGAGCAAGGTATCATTTCAACATGTCCTCCACAAAGCCATACTTTTACAGATACCTCTATGTGTTCAAAGCCCCAGACTTCCATACCGGTATCAAAGCCTCCAAGTTTGTAGAAAAACTCTTTTCTCATGGCAGTCATCATACCAGGAATAGTGCCATACTCAATTGGTTCCACACTTCCATTTCTTGTGTCCCGAAATGCCCAAGAATATGTCAACCATTCTTCAATTATTGTGATAGGGTCAAACGCACAAAACAGTTTATACTGATCATCTAATATAAATTCAAAGATTTCACGACCAATTTCCCCAACATGAGAAGTCAGTAATACATTGGGTTGTTGGACAAGTCTATGAATGATTGGTTCTAGCCATCCCGGTGTAACTTCTATATGTCCATCAAGAACAATAAAGAAATCAGATTTAGTTTGCTCGATTCCCTTTGTTCTAGCTATCATCAAACCTAATGGACGTTCGTGTACAATAAGTTTAAGTTTTTGCACATTTGAAGCGTGTATATTAACAGCAAGTTTCAATTCTTCATCCACAGATCCATCGTCAACTAGGATGATTTCGTGTATGAGATTTTCAGGAGACGTTTCGAGCACGCTATAAATTGTTCTTAGCAAGCACGACATTGGTTCGTCCCTAAATGTGATCACAATGCTTATTGAAGGCAAGTTTTCGGGATATTTTATTTTCTTGCATGCATCAGGCCGTCTGTCTGGAAGAATACGCTTTATTCCAATAATGTCACTCATTAAAACATTTACACCACTTTTGAACGCATTTTCCCTGAGTTTGAAATAATTATTTTCATCAGGAATAAAAACTATTTCACTTTTAGCACCAGGTCCCGTATAATTTGGAAATTGTACAATTTCTTTCTTACTATTAGTACAAATACGTGCTGCTCCCGAAGTAAATATCTTGGGATAGCTAATAGAGTTCGTGTTCTTGAAGTTTTTATACACGTTATATAATATCCACATTACACCTATATGAGCGACAAAAGTAAACACTAAAGCAACTTTAAAAATAAATTTATAATGGAAATATAATTTCATTATGTTAAAACGTATTGTGATCGCTTTTGTATAATATTGACATGTCAATCACAGTATTTAACACTCCTTTCTAATAATAACAGAAGGAATGTGCATATGTTGTGTTTAATCTCAAGTATTGATGCATACATAATTAAATAAAACTGTTGCTTTTGTCTTGCTATTTTACCTAGCAAATGATATTTCATAATGCATGTTTGTCATAAAATGTTTTAAGCCGTCATATTTGTGGGATTTATTCATAATATAAGATTGTGTCGTTTCTCTTCTCGTTCTTATATCTCAAGTTTCAAGTGCAAAACTTTAAGCACTCTATAGTAGTTAATGTTGAATACAAGGCAAAAAACTCAATCAAATGAAATATTTATTGTTATATGGTACTGTTACAGTAGTTTGTAGTGGTGATAAGTTTTGACTTATTTAGGAATCACTTAATTTAATATAATAATAATAACACATTATAAAGAAAAATGAAGGACAATGTATTTAAGTAAGTGTTTCAAATCCCCCGTTAAGAGTCCGTTTCCGTGCTATTTTCTGTCTTTATCCACTTTGAAATGGTTTATATCCAGTAATGGCACATGAGGTCTCAACTATATTTATTTGATAAACAAAACGATCATCCATTTTTAAAACTGATGATCTTAATTTAACGTAGTTTAAAAAAAGCGCAATGCCTAACATATATAAACAATTCATACAACATTATATTTTTGGAATAACAAAATTAAACGAAATAGAATACAATAACAACTTGAATACTTTTTAAGCATAAAATGGTCTGATTTCTATCTGTAGCTCATAAAGCTGTTTTCGTTTAATTCAGTATTTGAGTATTCGTGTAAAATAGTCATTACATAAAGTCATTTTCAGAGAATATATTTCCCTATTCTCAAGCATTCTGTTATGTAACACAATCACTTTCCAGGTAGTTGTTTAGTTGTCACGTGGTTGACCTATCATGCAAATATTTAACAACATTATAAAGAATTGTTAACAGTGTCAATCTTCTCTATTTACCTATATAGGCTAAATATTTCAATCAGAACTATCTAAAGTCAAACACAATATCCAGCATCAATGAATGCAAAACAAGCATTTCTGCCGATTGATACGGACTAAAATAGCTTAGACAAAACGAATACACAATAAAACAGCTTAAAATAATCAAAACTAATACGGAATAAAAATAGTTTAATAAAAAAATACTATTAAAATAGTTGAATAGAACACAATACGGAATTAAACAGTTTAATATAAAACATATGCAAAATTAAAATAAAAATAACTTTATAAAAATATGTAATGCTGAAATGAACTTCAGTTTGTCTATTCAAAATTATTATACATCGTTAAGCGCTTTTCAATGGAATTGTGATTTCGCGTTAACAGCAAAACACAGTGGCGCGCATGTTAATGCCTTAATGAGATGCAATTTACTTATTATTAATAAGATATGTTTCCTCTTCACAATTACAGTGTTTCATGGGAGAAGATGTCCCTGTACAGTTAAGAGGGAAAATCATATACTTTTAATAACAGTCATCCCTAATATGTCATATACTTCACTACATCAGGACACAATATACAGTAAATAAAGATATATAGTTAGGGAAAGAGAAAAAGATTTACCAGCGTCCTTCTTAAGCTTATAGTAGAAAAAATTATTGACACTCCATACCAAAAAAGAGACAGTCTCATAGATATTGCAGTACTTAATTATCATCATTATTCTTTACCCTGATTTAATAAATGATACATATAGAAATGCTTGAGCAATTTATTTTTGGAAACTCTTCATGTAAGACTCACAGAAGATTTGCATCAATGTCTGAATTGAATAAGGAACACATGATTCATTCGATTAGAATAGTTTTTTAAGATTAATTTGTAGTAAAACAAAATGTAAACATATGTTTTGCCAACCGTATAGGTCAAAAAAAAATGCGTTAGCCTGTTTTGATTGGGTCTTGCATATTAAATGCAAGCCTTTAATTAGATACATTTTGATACTGATTAAATTTTGCTACAGAGTCTAGGGCTTTTTCACAATTAGCACCTAGACTTTTTTTACACACAATGCCTGATTGCCTGATTGTTTCCTTGATTTTTTTTTAAAAACAAATGTATTTATGTATTCTTTTCAAGGTAAATTTGTCGGGAAAACTTACTTAAGTTTATTTTTTTATCTCTACAAATACATGATTTTAAGTTTTGCAAATTGATAATCTCTTTAAACAAACGACCTTGAGTTATTGCATATTAAAGGAATTATCTGAATATATACTTTTACCTATGTAACTTGTGTACATTTTTATCTATGTTAACTGCCTCATCATACTATTACATATGTAGTGTTTCCAGTGACTTGAAATAGAGAAAAACGGAAACCTTAAAGAACGTTTAAAGGGAAGAAATTGAAACTGTTGCAGGCTGATCATGGCATTACCGTCCACACCCCCTTGATAAGTCCAAATAACTTAATACAGTTTCTTAAAACGGATCACGATTTTTTAGTATGTGCATTCAAATGACCGCCACACCTCCCGAACAAATAAACAAACACCCACCTCGGTTGCGGGTTCGGCCGGGCTTTAAGGCTGCAGCCCCCATCCCTAGATACGTTTACCAGCTGGGCTGGAATATACTTTTGTCAGTTTCAAACTTTATTGGCTGTAGTAAATGGTGACTGAATTGTAAGCGTGTTTTTGTCCCGCGAACCCACCAAGCGAAAAGTCGATAACTAACAAGTTAACTTGGCGGGGCGCGGAGCGAAAAACACGATAATTAGCGGGGGCGCTTATAAGCGTGTTTTCGCTCCGCGCCCCCGCCGTTTTTTCTTAAATCTCGCACCGCGTCCTCGCGCTAATTAGTGTGTTTTCGATCTGCGCCTTAAAGAATCGCGTTTTAATAACAAGTTTTACTAAGATTTTTTATGAAGATAAAATGATTGATTGGTCATTTGCTTTTAAAAATTTTCATGACGAATATTTTTACAAATAAAATTTAAATTGTAGATCTACTGACATCTTTAACATCTAAAATGGATTCATTTATAGAAAAAAATCTTAATGAATATAAGTGTTTGATTATTTTTGAACAATAGAAAGACAGTATTTAAATAACACTTTACTTTGGAAAACTATTATACAGACGAGTAAACTGATCAAGTGTTTGAAATTATTTCAATCAACTGGTATATGTGCTGTTATTTACGGAATTCTTCTTGAAAGACCCTGTAAACACTAATCTATACACCCCTCCGTGGCCCACCCCAAACACATACATTTTTCTTAATTCCTGTCTTAATTATCATATAAATATTTACAAATCAGTAATAAACACATATATAAGAAAAAGTACATTGCAACTCATAAAGATGAGCTAAAAGACATCAATTACAATTTTTGTCACATGAACATGATGATGGCCCAACCTTCAATCATGCGCAATTTTGGTCTTGTTTTCCTTTTGTTTTTGTCAGAATCTTCCATCCATATGTCAGCCCCCAAGAAAACCCTGTTCTGTATCCGCCCCTGCACCCAGAGGAAAGATGAAATGTGCATATAAATTGAGTGGATGGTTTCTCGTACTACTAAAATGCATTTTCCATATTATATATATGTATAGATATAATTAAGTTATAGGATTAAGTTGATATCTAAAACAATTTCGTAACACACATAAAAATTCATGTTTTTACATTAATTTTCCCATGTATTTTTCAGGTTTTAACCAATGCAAGGCCGTTATAAATGCTGGTCTCTTATTTCTTTTTTCTATTTTTTTTTTTTTTTTTGGTTTCTGATGCATGTTCAGAATTAAATACGCGATTCTACATTTTCAGCAACGATGCTCGAATTTAGATAAAGGCGTCGGGATGGTGGTGGTGGTGGTGGTGGTGGTGGTGGTGTGTGTGTGGGGGGGGGGGGTGAAGCCCAGTCCTGCATTTTAAATAAAATATATACACTATTGCAAGGTAAGCGGTGGTTGAACTGTCCGGTGAACTCAAAGTACTTAGGTTACATTTTTACAACCAAGCTAGCTGAATAACAAAAAAGAGCGACCAAGTTATCCTGTGGAAAGAACAAAAAAATGTAGGGGACACCCGGGTTCGAACCAGGGACCTCTCGATCTGCAGTCGAATGCTCTACCACTGAGCTATATCCCCGTACGGACAGCAATTTCTTATCTAGTGGCATTGAAAAAGTCAAACCACTTAAAACTAACACTGTAGGATATGCTTATTCAAACTTATCTACACATTGGAAAAGCAATCAACATACAGAGTCACGCGAACATTTTGTTTTTCAGTGCATTTGTACCAAATACCTGTGTTCGTAAAACTTATAAATATTTACACTGAATAACTAAATAAAGCTTTTTTCCATTTCAAAGGATATGCCAATAGCTTACTTTCAAATATTGGTTAGGATTTTGTAAATATTAACCTAAAAAAGTACAAAATAAATGTCCAATATTTCGAAGTGTTCTGACTGTAATTTTATGCTGGATTTTTGAACATGCCGCCACTTGTTTTCGGACGCATGAGCAACATTTATATATCTGTAGTGATATAGCCCTATCGAATTAGATCGGTTTCTATATGTAGCGATGATTTTGTACTTTTTTTCCAGGATAGAGGATACTGGATGCAGTGAGTATAATCTTAGGAAAATCAATCTTGGAATTATAACTGTTATGGAGACATTGACACTTTTATACATTTTACTGACAGTCTTTTGTAATCATTCCACAAAAGGAGAGAAGTGTCAGCCTACGTGTGAGTGGATGTCATGGTATGAATGGTCAGAATGCAGCGTAACGTGTGGCGACGGGGGACAACAGAACAGATTTAGGCCTTTATGTTGTCCGACGATATCAACACCTGTGCAAACTTTTGCGACATAGACGTTGATAAGCGA